AGCTGTTCCTTAACCTCTGCACCGGCAGACAGATTGTGCGAGATGGAGAAGGACAGACAGACTGGAAAGGCAGTCATACAGAGAGGGAAGGAGAAGAGCGAGACACTAAATGCGAGAAACAAATCTAGGCAGAGAGAGAAGTGGCCACCTGAGGATTAGAGACTGAATATAACTGCTCTGAATTGTCAAGGCCGCAACATTTCACAAAGTCTCTTTCCACATCCTGACCTTTCTGATATTTAACTCCGAGGCCCATCTATTGTCAGTGAACCTTTTTGCAGTAAAAGGAAAGGCAGTTAACATTCAGCCCTTCCGCGACGTATTGAGTGAATTGTGGATTCAGTCCAGAAGTCTCTGGAGTCTGAGGGCACTCTCCCTACGTATTTATGTGTTTGAGCGTGCCAGTTCGTGTGCGCGCATGCCTTGGTCCGTTCGCGTAAACCTCTTTAGCCAATTACTACAATGCTGTCTGTGTGAGATTTCATCCTGCTGAAATGTTGCATTTCAATGCCTTTTATTGAAGCAGGCCCGTCTATGTGGCGTCTTTGCTCCTGATCAGATAAGTGTGACAGCTTTCTATTAATCCTGTCAAAGGAACACAAAACAATTGATGTTATTCAAGATGCTACCTACTTTTGATACGATGCAAATTTTGACTCCCTAAGGGTGTCTGTGCACAAGCTCCTCTCCTCGTTATTTATTTATTTATTTATTTATTTGAAAAGTGTCACACTTTTCCGCTGTTGCGTCGTTTTAAAAGCGTCCAGGTCAAATATTGGCTCGCTCCGCTTTGCTTGACTCGTATACAGAAGTCACACGTTTTCGTTTTCAGGTTAGGATGCTCACGTACACGCTCAGGCTCAGAGACTGCAAAATTCAAAGTGACAGAGCTTCCCTGTCAACACCTGCCATCTAATCTATGCTTGTCTGAAACTCTATCGCTCAATAAACCCATTGTTTAGCCATGTCAGTAGCACAAGACTCGCAGCAATAATTGAATCTATTTGCATGATTAGGCTTCTTTTAATGAGTTCCTGTGAAAACGACATAATGTTACAGATAAAATGCTGTTGATGGAACATTGTTTCACAAAAGAAAAAAAAAATAAAAGTACAATTTGTAATGCCAAGCAGTAAGGTTAAAAAACTGGTAAAAAAAAGAAAAAAAAAAAGAAAGAAAAACTATTATACAGAAAAATTAATAACCGAAGCACAAAACAGACAGGCCTTCAAATGTTATTTAATCCTCTTCTTCTCAGTCGTCTGTAAAATAAAAACTAATCGTTTTTTTTTTTTTTTTTAGAGGAAATCGAATGAAACGCACAGTGAGAGACATGATATCTCAGAGCTCTGAGGGATTTAATTCATGCACAACAAAGTTGTTCCTGATTGATTCACCACCTCTGTGCAATTTAGTCGGGCAAAATTTAGAACAGCCACTTTAACATATTAGGACCGATTTGAAACCTTTTCGTTCACCGTGGCCCTTCAGAAATACATTTTGTTTTGCCTTGTGCAACAGATAATGTTAAAACACTGCACTGTCACGCCAAATATTTTATGCAGACTTCTAAAGATGTTTTTTTTTTCTTCTTCTTCTAGAGAAATCTACCACTTTTTATTCTGACATTTAGCAAGAAGAAATACATTTTAAAGAAATCCAACTGGCTTGAAGTAGAAACAATTTATTCAATTTATTCAATGTCAAACATAAATGAGAAACTTTCATCCAGAATTACAGGATGAAGCTATTGAAATTCAAACAAATTTAAACTTAAAAAATGTCTTATGTATGCATTTATTTACATTTTTGAATGATTTCTTTAAAATAAAGGTTTAAGTGTGTTATCTGGCGGGTGACCCTTCCACCCACACACATAAAATATATCAATTGTTTCTCTACCTGTTTCGATTTACACAATAAAGCTGTAACTGGAATGAGTTCATCATGTATTTTAATACAAGCACAAAACTAGGTTGGCTGTTATTTTTGGAAGCAACAAAAATAAATGCATTGATTACCAAAAAGAAGAAAAAAAAAATATTTTATTTCTTCCGTGTTAATGAATCCTATAACTATGATGTTTGATCCCGCTATTTCAGTTCGACAAACAAGATTTTATCCTTCGCCAAAACCCTCTGCCTCACAGAAACATAAATCCTCTGCAGTCATTTTAACTCTTATCACTAACAAAGGGGATGCATTTAAACCTCAGTGTCACAGTCAAACACTGGGTGTTTCAGCTGCCGCTCGTATCACATCTGATGTTCTTTAAATTGCATTATTTATGGTAATGCAAAACTGATGAACACACTTAACAAGGTCACTGCTGTTGCCATGGAATCAAAGAATAAAAATGTTCCTTTACTTCAGAGAATACATGTAGGTGAGTAAATGTCATGACACCCCAGCCTTTTACATTATGCATTATAGCATATTTTACCTACAGTGTCATTTCAGAACGTAGAAGACAACTGGGGATATAAGACGGCACTCAGGAGTGAAGACGTGGACTCATGCACCCGTAAAGATAAAGCTTTAGCAAACATGCGGCACATAAGGTGCATAAAACACACACATGGTGCGTGACACATGCAAGATTTACAGTGGATAAAATAAAATGGGGAAGATTTACAGAACAAGTCTGTGAACACAGAGCATGCATACGGGGAAAGAAAACATGTCATAGTTACTGAAATTATACCACTGGACAGCCTTTGTGTGGTTAATGGTATCATCCCCAATGATTATGACTCCTCAAGCTATCAAATTAATAATTTCGACGGCAGCGGAGGAAATGTTTTCAAACACTGAGAGCAACTAGAGTTTTCCAAGAGAAAACTATTTTCAATTATCTTTTAATTGATATTAGCAGCAGCGACTTAAGCTGCAGCAAAGGGTCAAACCCAACTCTGTTATTAAAATATTATTCCATGTAGGCATCTTTTAATAATGAGAGGATTAGCTCTTCTTTTTTTTTTTCTTTTTTTTTTGTCAATACGCCTGTGAGATTTGATGTTGATTCATACTTTTTGCTGTTGTCGAGAATGCGTCGGAGAACAAGTTCAAAATCACCGACAGCATTATGATCTACTGTATTAAGCGCTGTTCAAGTGGAAAATGTAAACTGACAGGGTGTTGGATGAAAGGTCATCTCCAAAAATAACATTTCTTTATATTCCTGTCAGGAGATGGATAGACTGTTGCATACATGGATTGATAGTAAGTCAACTTACTAACTGGTATTGGTATTCTAAAGCCTTTTGGCTGCAGGCGTTGGGCAACAAGCAATCATTCCCAGCTATAAATGATGAGTGAAGAAAAGACTCAAAGGGTAGATTTTTCATTATTGCAGCCCCACAACACAAGGACAAAATTCATAACATAATTCATGATGGCTGGTGACATCAATGTTGCTCATCTTAAAACTTATCCCATCGCAGTGATTAAATGAATGCACCTTTGACATTGCATCCAAGACAAAGAGATCTGTCACATCCTCAGATGGTAACAGCACGACTGTTGCATCCTTACCACCAACCAAGAGAACAACTCGGAAAAGGACTGAAAACATTACTCTGCCTGAAGGGTTTATCTTGTCTTCCTAGATACCAATCTGATGGCATCTGGTTGCATTTCTGAGGAGTTAACCTCTTACCTGTAATCAAAACGGCCTAAAAGAAATGTTCCTGATGGGTACAGGACGCCTTCGAAGGTTATTTGTAAATCCTGTGAATAGTCAAAGCCGAGGGGGAAAAAAAAAAAAAAAGTTAATCACTTTTTTGACCAATGTTTCCTTTTAAAAAACTAAAAAGAAACATTGTAGCACTATACCACCACTACACACATCAATGAACAGATCATCCTTTTTCATTTCAGATCTACAACTAAGTCACCAAATTCTTCAAACCCCTGCAAATTGTTTTCATTCAACCAAGGAGATTGTTTCCAAAAAAAAGAAAAAAGAAAGAGAGAGAGAGCTACATTTCTCAAAACCCAATAAGACGACATAAAAGGAGTATCATTTTTCAGATGAATAAAGAAATGAAATGTAAACTATATTTTTCCACTTCTTAATAAAAAATAAAGGAGAAGTCTGTATTGGCATTATTGTAATTGTTGATCAGCTTTTTTATGTTTCCATTGGTGTTTTGATGATTTAACGCTGATGATGAGCCCAAGACTTTGAGATCAGAAGACCTCCTTTCCATCACCCTAAAACTAACCTTTAACCTTCTTAATAGATTCTGGCCATTCCAAAATATTGTCAGAAGAAACATGTTGGTCCAATTAAATATTAAAGAAAGCTTTACATAAATCCCTCAAAATCTAAAAGACATTTGCAGAATCAGACAAATGCTTGTGTTTTAAACCAACATCAGACCTTATCCTACATAAATACTTAGATATAAATATGCCAGCCTCCAACACACCTCTTGATGGTAAAAAAAAAAGAAACCAAAAGAAAAATCAGTTTGACTCCTTATTAGCAGTGTTTTTCAACCAGTCAGCATCCAATCTCCATAAAATCTAAACTCTCATAAAAATCCTCCAAAGACCAACTAAAATGTCAGAATGAATGTTTAGCTGCTCAAACACAGTATCTTGATTTCCCTCCGCCGATCACTTTGAAACTTTACTTTCTGAAAATGTCAGTGTTGTGTGACTCTGAGTTGAATATGCTGCATTAACAGGTTAGTTTTGTACAAATAAAATTTTAAAAGCTGTGTTCTTATATGACTCACTGTAAGCCCATTAAATTTGTATCCAAAATGAATGATTTATGTTTCTGTCATAGCTATGTGCCTCGTGTAGAAAATTGAACGTGTGCTTTTGGATTGTATTTAAATGAACATTGTTTTCTTCCTATGGTGCTCTCAATGAAATGCCTCTCCCCCCTCCCCCGACCCCATTTGTTTTTTTTTTTTTTTTTTTTTCCAAACATGCTATTTTGAATTTCTTTGTGCGTCTCTATGTTTCTCTCCCCGCTTCAACAACAGGGGCCCATGCAAAAAAACAGGGCGAAGATTTGTCGGAAAACGACGGTGACGAAGACGAAGGTATTTTCCACGGTGAACAAAGACGGTGCATGATTTCTTTTGAAAACAAAAATCTCACTGTTTTATAATCCTCTGTGGATTTCTTGTATTGCAAATGCACTCATCAGGCACCCGTGTCGCAGCGTCATCATCATCATCATCATCATCTGCCGAGCAACATTTTCACAAAGGTTGCATGTGAGTGAATGTGATGGCTCTTGTTCCCAAGGATCTATATTCAGATCAGGAGAGTTTTTGACTTTAGAGATTGATAACATCCAGTTATCTGTCAAAATAACTAAACCCTAGGTTGACTCATGCTAATATCTTATGCAGCGAGTGAAGCAGCTGATATTAAAGGGGCAGGGTTAGCAGTTAAACCCTTTGCTAAGGTGTGGGCAGAAGCTGTGTTGATGGTGATAATAGCAAAGGAAAGAGACACAGCAGTGTAATATCAGACTGTTCCTCAGGTCTGCTTGCTCATTCAGATGAGGAGCGGCAGTTCAGGAGCGATGCTGAAGAGGATTAGAGATGAGAGGTGTAGAAAATGGGAAGTTGCTGCTCAGCAATCGCATTGTTCCCTTTCCATATTTATCTTGGGATATTCCTGGCTCAGGGTGGATCGCTGCTGAGATTAGAATGAGAGACAGCTCTTGGGCTGCAACAGAAACAGCTTAAGTCTCTGAATCTAAATCAAAACCCCTTGATGTAGCCCGGCCCTTCTCTTGTGATGCCACTGTAGGGCAGGTGATGAAAGCCTGATGTTTTGTATCATCACAAAGCCTTTGATTTGCACTCAGTTTCAATAATTTTCACTTCAGTTGAACGTCTGCATCTGTGTAAATTGGAATATCAAAAAGTTGATTTGGAAGTTAATTAAAAACAAAAATTAATTCATATTGACTGATGACACACGTGGTGAAATATATCAAGCAATATATATATTTTTTATTATTATTTGATTGAGTATAGGTTACTCAAAAAAACTATTTCAGAAAATTTGATCAGCGAGTAATTTGTGAAGAAATGCTATGACCATGTTGTAGCTTCCACAGTGATAATCACTGACATGAAGATAAAACAAAATAATCTGGCTGCTGACAAACAGGGCTGCAGTCAGGCATATTATTGGAAAGTTTAGTGGAAGGAAAAAGTGTGGTAAATGATGCTCAAGCAAGTAGGATAACCACAGCCTTGGGAAGATTGTGAAGCAAGAAGATGAAAGAGAATACATATTGTTTTATCAAATATTTATGCTTTGGGGGTTTAAATTAGCTGTAAAAATAAAATTTTGTGTAGCTAATAGATATAGTTTATTTCTTTGTGTAATTCTAGTTTATTAGGATTTAAACTTTTAGTGGAGTTAATTGTGTTGTTGTTACATTTTAAGTGAAGACTATGTATTGATAAAACAAAAAAAACATTTTCAGTTCAAAACCCCTTCAGTTGCTAAATTATTGAATAGACATAGAAGCTCAACAACAGAAATATGTAGTGTTTTTATAAAATGTTTAATACATAAAAATCCATCAAAATTAACACGTTAAAATCCCGGCAGTAATCAAGATGCACCTGTTCAATACTTGTTTGTGTTTCTCAGTTATTGCTAAGGTCATTTGAAAGTTTTATTTTCCACACAAACTGAAGCAGACAACTGACTATATTATTTTACGTATCTTTGAGAATTGGCAAGAACAAGTTTGTTATTTCTTACAATGTTTTTTATTTAAACATTTTCAACTGAACATGGGACAGAGAGAGATCGGATTCTGTAAATAGACGGTTTCCTCTAGATGTTCAAGTGTCTGTAGAGAAGGTCCTTCCTCTTTGCCAACAGGCTCCTCTCTCAAAAAAAAAAAAAAAAAAACCCTCCTCATGCTGGCCTGGATCACATATCAGGAAGTGTTGCCATGGCACCACTTTAACACACACAGGTGTTTCTTTATTCATGCCCAGGGCAAGCTGTTGCAACTGCAGCCAAACTGTCTTGATTTTCAACCTGACTCTGTGTATATACACACGGCTCATGCATGTACAGCTCTGTCCTCCTTCAAGCAGGCTCACGTGTGTCTGTATGTAACCCCCTTTGTATGTATAAAATTGCTGACAAGTGCCAATCCCTTTCTCTGGCAAGTTTGTGCATGCATGCACAGCGGCTTGGTCTCCAATCTGTTGTGCTAGACTAGCTTCACTGAAAATGTGACAAGTCTATTCTTTACTGGGCGCGTCTAATGCTGTTTGCAGAGCATCCCCGAAGACACACAGTATAGTCCCAGTAGCATTTACTGCAACTAATGCATGCGTGACAGAGTTGGCCATGACTTCCTAAAATTATCCGTAAGATTTTTTTATTTTTCTAGTGATTGTGTTGGTGTGACAACCCTCTATTTCTACTTAATTTTACTGTGGTTAAAAAAAACCAAAAAAAAACGTCACTCTGTACAAACCAAACTGTTGTTTCTGTTTTGTGGGGGAAAATATATATAAATGCTGCCATTTGTCTCTGTTAACATATTTGTGAAGAGGCTCACTGATTCTGCCACTTGGTGCCGTTGAGAAAACCCTAAGTAGTTCACACATACAAAGATGTTAAAACAAATTAGCCTAAAAATTAAGCTACACTTACAGCTCAAAAGTTTTGTGTATTAGTCCTTTGTCATTTATTCCAGAAAACGAATGACACATATTGGTTCATTACACACAGTGACTTATTCCAAGTTTTTATTTCTTCTAAATTTGAGACCTTGACAAGGGGCTGCAAATGTTCTCAAGCCACTCACGAACCAGAGACGATGTCAGAAGGATCTCATCTGGGCAAAGCAGAAAAAGAACTGAACTGTTAGCCAAAGTCATGTTTTCAAATGAAAGTGAAGTTTGCATTTCATGAAGAAAGTAGCTGATTCTTGTAGCACTGCAAATGACAAGGCGACTGAAGCGTCACGTAGCTAAAGCAGGTAAAGCCCACAACATCGGTGAAACACATGCGACAACGAGCATTGTGCCAGGATAAAGTTTGCAGAAATAGTAGCTGTAATGTAGTCAGTGTGGGGTGCAGGGCGTCTAGTTGCTCTCTGAGAGCGGGTTACATTTCCCCACACTTTGTAAAAAAACCCAGCTGTAGAAAATCTATGGGGTACTGTCAAGAAGAAGAAGATAAGAGACGCCCAATCCAGCAATGCAGATGACCTGAAGGCCACTAATAAAGCAACCTGGGTTTCCATTACACCTCAACAGAACCACAGGCTGATTGCCTCTGTGCCCGCCATACTGATGCAGCAATTCCTCAGGCCCAGCTATTGAGTAGATCAACACAAACACATATTTTGAAATGGATGTTTATTGTGATGCACTCAGACAGGTTTTTTTTCTTTTAGAAACCTGACCAATGTTTTAAAATAAAATCGAACTTATGTACCTTCAATCAACCTAAGATAAATCTTGGACTCTTGTCATCTGCAAACCAGACCCATTAAATCTACAAGAAATAGATTGGCTTGAAATATTTCAATCTGTGTGTAATGAATTCATATGACAGTTTCATTTTCTGAAGTGAGTGACTGTAAACATTCAACTTGTTTTATAAAACTCAAATTGTATATGCCTGAAAAAACACTTGGGCAATAGGTACAAAATTGCCATTAAAAGCCAAAGAATAGCTGAAATCTGATAGGAGTTCCCCCTGTGGGGATTAATAAAGTATGTTCATTAATTCATCCATTCATCCCGAACACACAGCCAAGATAATTCATGCTGGTTTAAACTAAGACAACAAAGCTGCTGGCATGCTCAGGCCATCGGTATATTAGAAAATGTGTGGCAATCAATGAAGATCGGAGAAAAACCTTCAAGATTTGAAGATAACCAACTGGTTGAAAATCTTATCTAAACAATTAAAGTATCTGCTTTCTCAATAATGGAGAAGTCTTGAAATTGTCATCACCAAAAAATTGCTTTACTTCTAATTTAAGTAAGGCTGGTTGACATTTTGCCTCTCCAGTTTGTTACAAATAATCCATAAACTCATGTGTTTTGATTTCGTTGGGTTATTATTACCAATATCTGCCATGCTTTCTTTGTCGAAAGCCAATTACAAATATATTTGTAGGGAAAAAATATGACTTCCATACTTTTTTTTTTTTTCTCGCTGCGTGCACTCTCACGAATTTTTGCCCTCACGAGTAGCCGTTCTTTTAATAGCACCGTCGCAGTTCCTAATAATTTTACTTCATGCATTACTGATGAAAACTTTGACCATTTGTATTCATGCTGAAGAACAAGAATAATCATAACACAAGCCAAGCTCCCCCTCTCCGTCTCTGGCTGACGTTCCTCTTATCCATGAATTCTCATTCAGCTGAGGGAGTCGCTGCCTCGTCTGGTTTCTCTGTGTAGCCCTTTCTATCTCTCACTCTGTTCATCCCGGCATTACCATGCCGCCTCACTTGGCCATCCGTCTATCCTGGGCTAATTTGCTCCCTTCATCCAACATATTGGAACGGTCCTCCTCCTTGTTAAAAACCCTCCGGGAACGTTCTCCAATTTTAATCCTGATAAACAGAAGAACAATAAAGGATTTTGTCCATTGCCAAATAAATAAAGCGTATGTAATAAAAGGGTAATATATAAATGAACAATAAAAAATAAAAAAATAAAAAAAAACGGCTGCAGAGCAGCCAGTAAAACATTTAACTCAGACAAACGTACAGGCATAATGAAATCCATACAATATGATTTTGCTTTGTATGTGTTTAAATGTTTCCTCTTTTTTTTTTTTTTTTTTTCCTGTCTGCAACTGGATATCTGCCCTTTATGTGTCCCGCCTGTCTGCTTGAGCACAAGTCAAGTCTTTGGCACTCCTCAGAGCATTCAAATTCTGCACTACGCTCCCTTCCAGCAGCACAAGCATGTGGGCCAAACTGCAGTGATTTACAACAGCCCACAATCAAGACTCAATTTTACAGAGGCTGTTATTGCACTGTAAAATGGAGAGCGAGCTTTCAATCACTTACCTGGTGGTTGTA